TGACCTGAGCTAGTGGAGTTCCTGCTTTCTCAGTTGGCCAGTTACAGAATGAGGAACTCGATCCCAACATCTCCTCTCAAACCAATATCTTAAGTGACACAGATGACTCTTTATTTACTGCAGTCTCATTTGATTTTGCATGTTTCAGAACAAGTCATTATGGCAGATAGGTGGAACAAATATAGAGCTAGTTGATCCAGTTCTGCTGCCTTTGGCCAGCATAATTCCATGAATAACTTGCCCTGTATCAAGTGTTCCACTAGTCTTTACTTGCCCTACACTGCCAAGGATTTGTAGTTACTCCTTCTTTCCAACCAGCTCCATCACTGCTTGAAACTGGCATCTCTTACTCATTAGGGAGGAGAAATTCAAGTAGCTTTGGCAAACCTCTGAATGCCAGATTGTCTGGTTTCAGTACTTGCCTGCAGACTAAAGTGCATGTTTCCAAGGACAGTTTGAACACAATTCTGGATCTATATTCTGTCTTTGAAAAGCCAACTCCTGCCCTGTTTCTTCCACATCTATCAACTCCTCAAAGCTTGGTTTACTTCTGTTTAAACAGGCTTCACCCTTGGGTCTTCATTCCTTTCTTTAAAAATATCAAACACCCTGTAAATGAAATAGGTAACAAGCTCCAATATTTTGGGTGTCAAACTTAAGTGTCTTCTATGGACAACTTCTGCTTTAACCTAATCTTCTATCTGGCAGCCTGTGATGGGTGCTTTTAGAAGTGTATATGCAAATAGAAATCCTACTGTCACTGCATCCAAATCCTGGTCTGGGAGTAGCCATATTATAACTTTGATGCTAAACGGAAATCAGCAACAAGATCATGTTAGTCTCTTGGATCCTAACAGGTAACCAAAATTTTTCTTTATGGCAGAATGAATACATGAAAGATGATTTTCTGATCAAAATTGAAACCTGGCACAAACCAGACCTTGGAATGCAGGAGAATGTAAGTACTTTCTGTGCAAAACTTTGTGGCATTAAAATAGATAGGTCTGTCATTTGTCCTGTTTTTCATTCAGTCTTGTTATTCTCTTCACTTTCTTGGGATTAACATAGCTCATGTCAGGCTAACAAGGAAACTATGCCCCCTATGATTAGACACCCTTCTGCCTGCTCTGGGTGGGAATGGATGTTTTTTAAAAAAAAAAAAACTATGCTCCTGTAGCTCTTGTGCAGAAATTGGTGGTTTTTTTGCATCTTCACCTCTGAATCGCTCTTTGATTTTTTTTTTTTCTTTTTCATCATTAACTGGATACCCTCAGCTGACCCCCTGGTAGCGGGGAGCTTAGTGCACTATCTTTGTTCTCCATTCTAACTGGGAATGGGGATGATGTGTAGATAGTTTGACTTACAAATCTGGCTCCCACTTCTTCTGTAGGTTCATAAACTAGAGCCAGACGTATGGAAGAATGTAGAAGCAGTTTATATAGACATTGCAGATCGGAACCAAGTGCTCTCCAAGGTATGCTGGTGGGTAAAGTATTACATATGATGGCACTAATATTACAAAAGGAAGATTGATACAAACTTCATTTCTGAAAATTATGGCTCTGCAGATAATCATACAAGGAGGGAAGGAGAAAGTAGATGTGATTATGGTCACTGGAGGAGTTATAATGAAAGTACTTGATCAGTGCAAACTGCAAAGAATTCAGCAGATGATCCTCAAAATTATTCTATAATTAGATTTCACTAAACCAGTGACTACAGAGCTTCCATAATATCTTGCCGGTTACCAGGAAGCCAAAATACATTTCCTTTTAAACAGTCTAGCCTTTGGCTCCCACCCACACAGATAAGTTTAATATAGCAAGTGTTACTAAAAACCTTCTTTACCATTTTTTAAAGTTCTTCCAAGCCCAAAAGATTACATATATTACTACCAAGTCAAAGAATAGTTCAGCTCTTATCCAAATACATGCTTACAACCCATCCTTATTAGCTAATCCTAAGATTAATTTAAAAAGAAAAGGCCTACTGTGATTAAAAGATCATTTATTTTATTTATACACGTGCACACAGATGTGAATAGAGTTCTTAGGTCAGTTTCATAGCAGAGATATGCAGGACAATGTAGCACTTTAAAGACTAACAAGATGGTTTATTAGATGAGCTTTCGTGGGCCAGACCCACTTCCTCAGATCAAATAGTGGAAGAAAATAGTCATAACCATATATACCAAAGGATACAATTAAAAAAAATGAACACATATGAAAAGGACAAATCACATTTCAGAACAGGAGGGGGATGCAGGGAGGGTGGGGAGGAAGGAAGGTAAGTGTCTATGAATTGACAATATTAGAGGTGGGGAGAGTGGGATGTTTGTGAGTTAATGGTATTAGAGGTGATAATTGGGAAAGCTATCTTGGTAATGGGTAAGATAGTTCAAGTGTTTGTTCAATCCTCTTTGGAGAGTGTCGAATTTTAACATGAATGACAGTTCAGAGGATTCCCTTTCAAGTGCAGATGTAAAAGGTCTTTGTAGCAGAATGCAGGTGG